CCATGCTGACTGTCCCTAATTAGGCCATGCTTTTCCAAATGCATGTAAATGCCATCCCTAAGAATTCTTCTCCAATAGCTTCCCAACCGCCGATGTGAGACTTAATGGTCTTTAGTTTCCTGGCTTAACCCTATTTCCCTTCTTGAACAGAGGAAAAACATTAGCTACTTGCCAGTCCTCTAGGACCTCTGCAGTGCCTAACGAGGATACAAAGATCTTGGTCAAGGCCCCAGCAATCTCCTCTCTTGCCTCTCTCAAAACCTGGAGTAGATACCAATGGACCCTGGGGACTTATCCATCTTAATACTCTTCAAGCGATCCTATACCACTTCTTCTGTGACTTAAAATATTCTAGCATACTCCATACAAATCTCACTATCCTCCGTATCCTTCTTCTGGGTGAATACTGATGCAAAGTACTCATTTAGGATCTTGCCCACATCCTCTGCCTCTAAGCACAAGTTTCCTCCTTTATGCTTGAGTGGTCCTACATCCTCCCTAGTTATCCTCTTGTTTTCAATATATGTGTAGAATGCCAAGATAATTTCATGGCCTTTCCTTGCTCTTCTAATTTCCTGCTTGAGTTCTTACCTACTTTCTTAACATTCCTCATAGACCCTATCAAATTTTAGCTTTCTAGGCCTTACAGATGCTTCTTTATCCCTGTTGATTTAATTCACAACCTCCCTCATTATCTAAGGGTCCCTTACCTTGCCATCCTTGTAATTCCCCCTTTCTGGAACATGCCGGTCCTGAACTCTCATCAGCAGATCTTTAAATAATAACAAAACATAATAATAAAGATTCTCTGTTTTCATCTGTACCACTGCTATTTTCAGTGTTTTACTATTAAAACAAGTGACTGCAGAGATATGTAAACATACTTGGGAAAAACTACAAAGAAAGCACAGAGATATAAATTGACTTCTGTTACAAGTAAAACAGCCACAGTTCTGTCAAGTTAGCTAAGTATATGACCGTGTTCTATATAATGAATTGATTGCTACGTGTTCATTTTTTGTGGAGTCATAGTTCTGTGTTGTATCATTGTGAGATTGTAAAGCTCATTTCCATCCAAACAATTCTAATTTCCTGATCTGTGAACCAAAGCCATCTCTAACTATTGCACAAATGCCATCAAGGATTATCCACCGCTTTGTCCACTGCCTTTACCTAGCTTCTTATTTTTCTTTAATTTAATTTATTCCTTAATATTTAGGACTCTGTCTTTGTCATCCTGCACCCATGTGTCCACAATGGTTATCAGATCAAATGTATTCACTTCAATATGCGCTATCAATTTATTTACTTAGCTTTGAATGACACATGCATTCAGATACAGAGCCTTCAGTTTTGTCTTTTTGTAATCTTTATAACATCTAATCTTTATTGTCTGTGTATTCCTGGCTTTTTATCTTTGTCCCTTCCTGCCATTCTCTCTCATTTGTTTTTCATAAGAGTGTTTTCCTGTCTGACTTTGTCTGTAGTCATTGATACACAACATGTTTCTACATTTGATCTCTTGCAGCCACTACTTAGTTTGAAACTAAAAGTTCCTTAATTATGCAAATAGTTCAGATGTAGATTTTCTTAATGACACACCCTTAACTTTCCCCAGTACTGGTGCCAGTGGGCCATGAACAAGAACTAATTTCTCCCACACCAATGTTTCAATCACATATTCATAGAATCCCTACAGCGTAGACACACGCCATACGGCCTGGGTCCACACCGACCCTCCAAAGACCATTCCCTCAGACCCATATCCCTTTCCTAGCCCTGTAACTCCACATTTCCCATGGCTAATCCACCTAGCCTACACATCCCTGGAAAGTGTGGGCAATTTAGCATAGCCAATCCACCTAACATGCACATCTTTGGACTGTTTGACTGCACAAGTTTGGACTGGGAGGAAACCCACACAGACATGGGGAGATTGTGCAAACCCTCAGTTGCCTGAGGGTGGTATCAAACTCAGGTCCTGGCACTGATACAGCAGTGCTAACCACTGAGCCACTGTGTTGCCATTTGGTACAATTGTTAGGGTAGCGAGACAGATAATTAGATTCAGAAAGCAGACTGTCACACTCTTCCGTTGTTCAAAAGGCTTGAGGGTCTACCAGCCTGTTTGGATTAGAGTGGGGGCTGCAGAGTGGATCAGCAAACTGGCCATGGTGATGTGGTATAGGAATCTATTTAACTGGAAAAAGCAACAAGGGAAGTAGTAGGGGAAGAAGATAGCAAAGTGAGGAGGATTGACATTATTCACGAGAGCAAGGAGTGACAGTCTATATGACTGTACCTGCCTAGTTTTTGGGTTCTGGACATATTCTACTGTGGGAGGGGAACAATTCAGTGACTTGTGGTCCATGTCAGTACCAATGACAAGGGTAGAACTAGGAAAGGCATTCTTCATAGTGAGTATGAGGAACTAGCATCAAAATAAAAAGATCCTCAAAGGTAATAATCTCTGAACTATTACTTGAGTATAATAAGGTAGGAAATTATGTGTATGTGTTTATCATGCATCTGTAATAACTAACTATAATAACTCACCAAGGCTCATGCACCAGCACCATCTAAACCCAGCACCATCTAAACCCATTACCTTTACCACCTAGACAATCAAGGGCAACAGACACATGATATTACCAGTTAATGCAAGTTTCCTTCCAACTCACACCATCTTTACTTCATCACCATTCCTTTGCTGTCACTGGTTAAAATCCTGGAACTCCTTACGTAACAACTGAGTGTCCCTAAAATTCAAGGACTGCTACAGTACAAGAAGGCAGCTTCATCACCTTTTCCAAATCTGTCGAGGATGGACAATAAATATTAGCCTAGCTTTAATGCCTACATCCCTTGAAGGTATAAAACAAAATCTGTATTTTGTGTGAAAGTAATAAGCTTGCATTTTGGAAAGTCATTCGAGCCTAAACCATGAGGAATAAATTGATCTAAAAGGTTTCCTTAAATTGAACACTATACAGACCAGCCAAGCAGACTTTGGAGTAATTGATTTTGGAGACTACAAACATTTGGCATTTTTAGTAATTATTAGTTGCTGGAGAGAGATAATCTTTATTTGTAGCTAGGTTATGGTTAGCAAATTTTTTTATTATCACTATAAAATTCCATTTTTAAAAATTATAGGTTACCAAGTGATCTATTTCCATAATTTCATAGTGTCTCTTTAGTTATGGAGAAAACAGATATTTCTCTTCCCCAGAAATACGATGTCCTTCATCTTGTCCTTGAAACAATTAGGAAATACATAGGAAGGATGCAGGAGACATGGCATCTAACCTTACATGTGTCTCTACATGGAAATGCTTGGCTTTCCCACAATGTCGCCTATCAACAATAATCAAGTAACTCATTGGTATTATATTTTGAAACAATCAAAATAGAGCATTTTAGAATGTCATTATGCTTCATCATAACATAATCTGTGGTTTGAAGAAATGTACTTTATAACATGAAACATATTTTCATGTAATGTAACAGCTTGCACTTATATTGCACTTTGATGAGAAGCCATGCCTCAAAATGCTTCCCAGAGGTGTAATCAGACAAAAGTAAATGCCAGGATGAAGGAGATATTAAGAATTGTGACCAAAGTCTTGATTAAATAGTTCTAAGGAGTTCTAAAAATGGAGGAAGGACACAGAGTAGGAATTCCATCATGTGTCTATACAGATAAAAGCACAACCACCACAGCTGTGTCAAAGGGAAGTGAATCAAAGCCCAGGGACAGCTTGCGATTCAAGTGGATGCTAAGATTGTGTTCATGCAATGAATGAGAAGGGAAAAAGAATTGGTGGTTAGAAAATAGTAATGAAAACTTTTTGAGGGTGGGGGGGGGGGTTATGTTCATTTGTACTGTGTAAGCCAATAATTTGTGAATACTGTAATATTCAGAGAACAGGGAATTCTAATAGTTGCTTCCTAGTATTAGGGGCATGGTTTATGCAAAGTTTTCATTAGGTCTCATCAGCAAAGTGTCAAAGCCTGTTAGATTTTGGGGCACTTAGTTAAAGCGAGTAAAAGAATGTGGAGCAAGCTCCACGTAGGTGGGTGCTGATGGCTGTACTGCTGAGAAGGCAGCTGGCTGCCTCTGGGTTGATTGGGCAACCGATGGTGCAAAAAAGCTTCAAAGAAGTTAAGGTGGAATAGTCCACCACAGTCAAAGAGGTTTGTCATTACTGCTTCGATTAGGTCTATTTCAGTGCTGTTACAGTGATAGAAGTCTGGTTTAATAGATCTAATTAGGGAGCTGGGCTTTGACAATATATTCACTAACTTACCAAAGGGCTTTGCAAATGGTGCGGTAATTTGCAAGGACCAAAGGTAGGTCTTTTCCATAATGGAATAAAGATGGTAAGTTTAAAATTGAGAGGACGAATAACTAGAAGAGGGAACCATTTATATCTTCTAAAATGAGAACCACAAAACAAAAGCTGTGTGGTCAGCAATTTTCAATGTAATCAATAAAGCAGGAAGAGAATTCCATGGAGAAGATGCAGATGTGCCGGCCTTATTACAAAATTCCGTTGAGGTAAATTTTACTCTGCTATCTTATGCTGCATTTTCCAGTGGATAGCCTTCCCCCACTGCCACACTCACACAGGCATATGCCATTTTCATCTCAATGAAAGCCCAGCAAATTGCAGAAAAAGTGGGAGATCTGCTTGACTACTGTCTAGTCAGTGAATTAAAAGTAGTTGCACTGTGTTTAGCATATCTCCATTAAATTCCCAATTTACAGAGCAAAGAACCATTTTTGAACCAACATCTGACATGACTACAAATTTTGTTGCAATTTTGTTCAAAAAGATGAAGCAATTTATGATTTTCAAGTAATAAAATGAGAACAGCCATTTAATGAGATCGCTGAAGTTCAGCTAACTTATTGATGTTGTGCTTCAAATTGAAGGGCAAGTGTAACTGATGTGACTTGTGTAATTGACGTGAGTTACTTATTTTGTAATGTTTAGAATCCCACAGAGATGTCAGACATTTCTTCAGTAACAGAGCATTTCCTCAAAGAAGAAGAAGAACGAGCCCGAGTGTTGGAGAAGCTGCTTAATTCCCACGTTGATGAACTGCAAACTGATTCAAAATGTACAGTTAAGATGTATGCTGGAGCTAAAGTAGATATGCCTGCTACCACAGCTTTATTGTGTAACTGCACATTTCAAGAAATCTGAAGTGCTATGGACTGTATTATGTAGAATGTAATGAATGGACCATTGACATTGTTGCTAACAAAAAGTGTTTGCATATCTGCAACTGTTAAAGAATTGCACGCAGAAAGCTGACAATTTTAAGTTGTTCAAAACATATGAAGTGAACTTTTTAATATGAAGTATTAATGCTTTATACATCTAGATGAAAATACTACTCTGTAATACGGGTTCAATTTTTACAATTTATTATTAATATTGTTCTTTCATTGTCAGTTTTGAAACATTTAAATTGGGGAAACTTAAAGGAATGGCTGGATCACTGAGGCATTTTTGTACCAATATGAATGCCTTGTGTATGTAACATTAAAAAGTCTATACATAAAACGTCAAAAGTTGTATGGTCTCACCTAGCTAATGTTGTGTAATGTTTTATTCTTGTAACTGACATGGAGTTACTGTCACAGCAGTTTAGAAATGGGGTACTTGTTTGCAAGGATGCAGGGGTCAGTGTTTCCATCACATGTATTTTTTGATTTTGTTTTCTGCTTTCCTGTCTCTTTCTTCGGAATTGGACATTACTTTGGTTCCCAAGTTACATAATACTGTATCTCATATTTCATGACCACTTTGCTGTCATTGTGTTCAACTCTGCTTTCCCAATATCCTTTTCCTCCTTAACAGTCCTCGTTATTACTCATTGTCATTACTCTCCCTGCCTGTTTCTCCATCAAACCATCTGCTGAACCCTGATCTTACCCCTGTTCGACTCTCATTTTATCCTGAAAATCCTTTGACTTTACAAACTCCAATGTGGTTTGACACTTCATCCTTAACCTATAGGTTTTACGGTATTGTGAGAAAGCTGCATCAGGCTACTGAGTTGTATCATCAGCCATGATATTGCATAGTAGAGCCGGCTTGAAGGCCTTAAAAAGCTTTAAAGGCCTACTCCTGCTCCTATTTTCTTTGTTTCTAAGTCCCACTTTCTCTCCCCTTCTTACATCCCTGCTTCTTTTGTGGGTATTACCTTTAGAATTCAGACTCTAGAATAAAAATGAACAGAATTGGAATATGAAAACTAACATTAGCACAGTGATATAAATGCAAATGAGACGAACACATGTCTGCATAAGTCTGAAGGTTTGATTCTATCAGAAGTCAGGTGGTTACCAAATTTCCTCATGCAACAACAATTTCAATTTATAAACCACTAAGGTAGAGTAAATAAAATCAGGAATGCTCAATGCACCTGATGTTGTGGATCTCAGGGTTTGGGGTGGTGGAGAAGTTATGAAGCTGAAGAGGATTACAGAGATGGGAAGGTGCAAGATCATAAACTTATGTGGAAAGAAGAATGACAATTTAAAAATAGAGGCAGTGCTTGGGCAGGCACATGTAGATAATCAAGTGGAGAGAAAATGGGGACAAATGTGTTTAAGGATATGGGCAGCAATGTTTTGAATAGCCACAAATTTGCAGAGGATAGGTCACAGGAAACCAGCCAGGATTGCACTGGAATAGTCAAGTTGAGATGTAACAAAGTTTTTGAGGAGATTTGTAGCTCAGGTGGTGGATGAGGTTGTAGACTTGCTCGCCAAGCCAGTGTTGCAGATGTTTTGGCACCCTGCTAGGTAACATCATCAGTGCACTTCCGGTGAAGCGTTGGTGTTCTGTCCCACTTGTTATTTATATGCCTTGGTTTGCTGGGGTGGTTGGCATTACTTTCGGTTCTGTTTTTCAGTGGTTTGTAAATCAGGTCCTGTTTAATGTGTTTGTTGATGGAGTTCCGGTTGGAATGCCAGGCCTCCAGGAATTTCCTGGCATGTCTCTGTTTGGCTCGTGCGATTATGGATGTGTTGTCGCAGTCGAATTCGTGTCCTTCTTCATCCGTGTTTGCTGAAACCATTGAGAATTTGTCGTGTCTCTTGGTGGCTAGTTGGTGTTAATGTATCCTTATTGTCAGTTTTCTTCCAGTTCGGCCTTTGGTATTTTGTATATTATGTTAGTTTTATTCATTATGGGTATAGGATCCTTTATGTTTGTCAGTAGCGATCGCAGGGTGGTTGTTGGCTTGTGGGCTACCCTGATACCTAGGGGTCTCTGGCTCAGATGCAATATCAAAGTTGTGAACAATCTAGGAGAAAATTACAGCAGATGCTGGATTCTGTATTGAAAACAACAAATGCTAGTTGAACCTCCATGAGTTGAGGGAGAGGGGTGGAGTCATAGAGCTGTACAGCATGGAAACAGACCCTTCAGTACCATTCGTCCATGCCAACCAGCTGTCCTAAATAAATTTAGTCCCATTTGCCAGTATTTGGTCCATATCCCTCTAACTCTTCCAATTCATATACCCATTCAGGTGCCTTTTAAATGTTGTAATTGTACTAGCCTCCACCACTTCCTCTGGCAATTAATTCCATACACACACCAGCCTCTGTGTGAACCAGTTGCCCCTTAGGACCCTTTTATATCTTTCCCCTCTTACCTTAACCCTCTGCCCTCTAGTTTTGGACTCCCCCCACCCCAGGGAAAAGCCCTTGCCTAACCATGCCCCTTATAATTTTATAAACATCGATAAGGTCACCCCTTAGTCTCTGACACTCTAGAGAAAATAGCCCCAGCCTATTCAGCCTCTCCCTATAGCTCAAACCCTCCAACCCTGGCAACATCCTTGTAAATCTTTTCTGAACCCTTTCAAGTTACACAACATCCTTCCCATAACAGGGAGACTAAGATTAATCGAGTATTCCAAAAGTGGGTTAACTAATGTCCTGGACAGCCATTACATCCTGTAATGACTTCCCAACTGCTATACTCAATGCACTGACCAATAAAAGCAAGCATACCAATAGTGATGAGATAACACAGTTTGTTACAATGACCAAAAACGATTTTTGTCTTTCCAAAATTAATTAAATGGAATTTCTACTTGATTTGTGACAATTAGATAATTTAAAAATAGAGAAGAAATCAAAAAAGGTGAATGTAAGGCAATGTTCCCCTCAAGCAAGGTGGAAAAGGAAAATCAGAGAAATAATGACTAGCTGATCTGTGATCTGTTGTAAGAAAGTTTTAAAGTCTATCATTAAGGATAGAGCAAGTAAATTGAATTTGATCAGGGAAAGCCAACATGAATTTGTAATGGGGTTTCTGAAGAAGGGTCTAGGCCCAAAACATCAGCCTTCCTGCTCCTCTGATGCTGCTTGGCCTGCTATGTTCATCCAGCTCCACACCTTGTTATCTCATGAATTTGTAATGGATAGGTTATACTGATGAGCTTGACTGAAACTTTTTAAAAGCCCCGAAGACTACACCTCCTCTCACCCACTTTCCTGCAAGAATGCGATCCCCTATTCCCAATTCCTCGACCCCCGCTGCATCTGGTTTTGGATCAGAAATTGGCTAGCTGTAAGAAGACAGAGAGTGGTGGTTGATGGGAAATGTTCATCCTGGAGTTCAGTTACTAGTGGTGTACCTCAAGGATCTGTTTTGGGGCCACTGCTGTTTGTCATTTTTATAAATGACCTGGATGAGGGCGTAGAAGGATGGGTTAGTAAATTTGCGGATGACACCAAAGTCGGTGGAGTTGTGGATAGTGCGGAATGATGTTGCAGGTTACAGAGGGACATAGATAAGCTGCAGAGCTGGGCTGAGAGGTGGCAAATGGAGTTTAATGTGGAAAAGTATGAGGTGATTCACTTTGGAAGGAGTAACAGGAATACAGAGTACTGGGCTAATGGTAAGATTCTTGGTAGTGTGGATGAGCAGAAAGATCTCGGTGTCCATGTGCATAGATCACTGAAAGTTGCCACCCAGGTTGATAGCGTTGTTAAGAAGGTGTACAGTATGTTAGGTTTTATTGGTAGAGGGATTGAGTTTCGGAGCCATGAGGTCATGTTGCAGCTGTACAAAACTCTGGTGCGGCCGCACTTGGAGTATTGCGTACAGTTCTGGTCGCCGCATTATAGGAAGGATGTGGAAGCATTGGAAAGGGTGCAGAGGAGATTTACCAGGATGTTGCCTGGTATGGAGGGAAGGTTTATGAGGAAAGGCTGAGGGTCTTGAGGCTGTTTTCGTTAGAGAGAAGAAGGTTAAGAGGTGACTTGATAGAGACATACAAGATGATCAGAGGATTAGATAGGGTGGACAGTGGGAGCCTTTTTCCTCGGATGGTGATGGCTAGCACGAGGGGACATAGCTTTAAATTGAGGGGTGATAGATGTAGGACAGATGTCAGAGGTAGGTTCTTTACTCAGAGAGTAGTAAGGGTGTGGAATGCCCTGCCTGCAAAAATAGTAGACTCGCCAACTTTAAGGGCATTTAAATGGTCATTGGATAAACGTATGGATGATAATGGAATAGTTTAGGTTAGATGGGCTTCAGATTGGTTTCACAGGTCGGTGCAACATCGAGGGCCGAAGGGCCTGTACTGCGCTGTAATGTTTTATGTTCTATGGTCCCAAAATGAGGCGTTCCACTCCCAAACATCCCAGATGTCCTTGCATTTCAAGGACCGCAACATCCCCCCCTTCAGTGGTCAAAAACACCCTCGACCGCATCTCTTGCGTTTCCCGCACCTCAGCCCTCACACCCCCTCCCCGCAATAAACGCAAAGACAGAATTCCCCTTGTCCTCACGTCTCACCCCATTAACCTCCGGATTCAACGCATCATTCTCCGCCACCTGCAATCTGACCCCACTACAAAAGATATATTTCCCTCCCCACCCTTATCTGCCTTCCGGAGGGACCGGTCTCTCCGCGACTCCCTTGTCAGTTCCACACTCCCCACAAGCCCCACCACTCCCAGTACCTTTCACTGCAACCGCAGGAGGTGCTACACCTGCGCCTACACGTTCCCCCCTCACCTCCATCCCAGGCCCCAAAAAGCCTTCCAAGTCAGACAGATGTCCACCTGCACATCCGCTAATGTGGTATATTGTATCCGCTGTTCCCGATGTGGCTTCCTCTACATCGGTGAGATCAAGCGGAGACTCGGAGACCGCTTCGTAGAACACCTACGCTCGGTTCGCAACAAACAACAACACCTCCCAGTCGCGAACTACTTCAACTCCCCCTCCCACTCCCTGGACGACATGTCCATCCTGGGCCTCCTCCAGTGTCACAACAACGCCATCCGGAAACTGGAGGAGCAGCTCATATTCCGCCTTGGAAGCCTACAACTGAATGGTCTCGAAGTGGACTTTACTAGCTTCAAAATCTCCCCATCCCCAGCCTCATTCCAAAACCAACCCTCCCTCTCATCCCCGCCTCCTTGACCTTTCCGTCTTCTCTTCCACCTATCCGCTCCTTCCACCTCACTGACCAATCCCCACCACTACCTACCTGCTATCACCATCCCACACCTTCCCCAGCCCAATGCCCCTCCCCCAAT